CCCCCCCACACACACACACAGAGGAGAGACAGACTAAGCCCAGAGACTCTTTTCTCATAGATTTTAGTTGACAACAATATGTTGTCTAGCACAGACCAAGCAGTTCCGAGGGAGGCTTCCTGAGCCACCGGTACTGACAGGTGACCCTGGCTCCGTGCTGGGCACCGAAGCCCCTAACTTTCCTTAAAGGGGCTGAGCCCAGGAGCTCGAGTTCCAGGCAGTTGTGAGCCACCTGATACGAGTTAAGAACATTGGTTGCTCTTCTAGAGGACCATCTCATTAGCATGCAAATCTGCTGTATTCTTTAAAACTGGTAAAACGAGATGCTCATCAAAGCACTGCTTTAAAATAAATTCCTTCATGCTGTCTTGTCAGCCAAGGCTTGACTGATACAGCTATTTTATATACCTATATACTTGAAGTTGTTTTAAAAGTTTCTCAGGTGTAAAGGAGTTTCGAGCATACAAAGTTTAAGAAACTCAGGCCTATGAAGAGCACTGGCTGCTCTTCCAGAGGACCCAGGTTCAAGTCCCAGCACCCACATGGCAGCTCACAACTGTCTGTAACTCCTGTTCCAGGGGATCTGACCTCCTCACATAGACATACTGCTACATACGTGCAGGCAAAACATCAATGTACATAAAATACGAATAAATAAATAAATAGTATATATATGTATATACACACATATATACTATTTATTTATTTGTACATATATACACATATCTATCTACATCTATATCTATCTATCTATCTATCTATCTATCTATCTATCTATCTATCTATCTACATGACCCTAGACTGGAAAAGTTATTGTGTGTGCACACAGCCCGAGATCTGGGATGCCTTTTGCAAAACATTGGGTGCCCTAGAAAACAGATGTGGGTCTGCTGGTGAGGGCAGGCTGGGAGAGGGTGGCGAATTCGGACAGGTCCCAAAAGCAGGGAGGTCAGGGCGGAGGGTGGGCAGCTAGGGCAGAGGGTGGTCACCACAAAGCTGGCCTGGGCGACTGGATGGGGCCTTCACTGCAGCCTAGGACCACACAGAAGGAGCTGCTGGGCCCCTCTGGAAACCTCCACAGTGTAAAACGCACGAGCTGCGTTTTGCAAATGGACTTCCATCTGGCTAAGCCCCCAGACAGCTTTCTTTCTCCAACCTGATGAAAGAGACACTTGATTTGACCTTTTAAGATCCAGGCAGATGACTGGAAAGGTCTTTGCAGCAAATGAAGCAGCCTGGGGAGCATTCAGTTCAAGAGAGACACAGGAAACGGCCCCGGGGCGGCTTTGCTCTGATAATGTTTCTAACGGGTGTCCCTTTGCACAGCGTGGCCAATCCTCTGGCTGGGTGCATGGCGGGGACGTAAATATTAGTTCTGCAACGACACTGGTGCTATTGTGGCCTGTTGGGTGTTCCCACCCACAAGCTGGACGAGGGCAGAGGTTTCACTCTGGTTACAGTGGAGAGTGAGGGGAGGGTGGAGGGCACTAAATATAGCAAATAACCTTCAGGCTCTCGAACAGATGGCTGAGCTCTAGAGACACAAGGTCAAACACACGACAATACCTTAGTTCAGAAGACACGGCAAACCGTGTTGTGACCACGCCTCCTTACAAAAACAACAACAGAAAACAATTAAAAATAATAATAACAACAACAACACCACAACCAGAGCCACGCCCTTCAAAGTCAGATACCTCTTAGGTTTCTGATGTATCCATTCCCTTCCCAGCACAGGAAATGTGTGTGTGTGTGTGTGTGTGTGTGTGTGTGTGTGTGTGTGTGTGTGTGTGTGCTGTTCACTTCCTGACAGCTTTCACTGATTTAGTTATTATCAGTTTTTATTAAAACTTCATTGTAAAGGACTGTCAAATGAAAACCATTACGCAGTGAGAACAGTCGGACTTAAAAGCCTGTACATCTCAATGAACTTCTAGACAGTCAGAATGGCCCTTCTGGAGCTGCGGGCTTCACACTGGATTTGACACTTTTTCTGCCGATCCACTTTTTTGTTTGTTTGTTTGGTTGGTTTTTTGGTCTCCCTCCATTCATATTCTGAGGTCATAGACTCCAGCCTCAGAGGGCTGGGGAGATGGCTCATGGGTGAGAACACTGGTTACTCTTGTGAGGACTCAGGTTTGGGTTCCCAGCACGCACATAGTGGTTCATAATCACCCCTTATCCAGTTCCATGGAATCCGATGCCCTACTCTGGACCCATGGACGCCAGGCATGTGTGTGGTGCACATACATACATGCAGGAAAAACACTGATACACATACAATAAAATTATCTAGAAGAAAGAAACTCCATGTCCAGATTGTGACAGGAACTGAGAATAGGGTCTTTTAAGGAGCTATTTAAATTAAAATGGGAAGGAAAGCCTTCTTATGGAGACATCTGAAAGCAGGCATGCTTAGTCAATGAATTTGTTGTCTGTTGTCTGTTACCTCTGGCTAGATGCCAACTCCAGAACCAGGCACACAGTAAGTGCCTAGTGACTATGCCGAGTGGGTTAATGTAAGACAGGATCTTACATCAAGGAGGTGTTTGAGCTTACAACAATGCCACGGACGAGTGTCTTAATTCTCGGTGGGCAGGTATTTAGCTTACTTCAAGGACCCTTTTTTCTCTCTCTTTTTTATGACAGGGATTTTTCTGTGTAGTCCTGGCTCTCCTGGATCTCACTCTGTAGACCAGGCTGGCCTCAAACTCACAGAGATCCACCTGCCTCTGCCTCTGCCTCCCGAGTGCTGGGATTTAAAGGTGTGCACCACCACTACCCAACTCAAGAACACTTTTCCAAGTTGAAATGTTATTGATCGGATTTTCTTTGATGATAAATGACACAGCTATTCCTCATAAGAAAGGTTTGTATTCAAATATTTCTCTCTAAACATTTGTTCTCTTTGAGGATCTGTTTTGCATTTCTCTGACTTAAATGCAGTAGACATTCATTGCATCTCCTGATACAAGAGCAAAAAATAAATTTTAAGTTTATCCAATGTTTTCTTTTAAAAATATTTTTTTAATTGTGTGTGTGTGTGTGTGGGTGTGTGTGTGTGTGTGCAGTACCTGTGGAGGCCAGAAGATGGCATCATATTTCCTGGAACTGGAGTTGTAGGCTGCTATAAATTGCCTGTAGGTGCTGGGAATTGAACCTGGGTCCTCCAAAGGAGCAGCCAGTGCTCTTAACTGCTGAGCCATCTCTCCAACCCTGTAAGTTGTTTACTTAAAAACCTCTCCTCTTCATCCTTTTTTTTTTTCTGTTTAAAGAGCTGTACATCTGGCTTCAGCACAGTCTTTTATGTCTGCATACTTCCCAGCATGAGCTCCAAGGGCAGAAGACCGTACAGTCTTAATAAATGCCTGATGATGAATAATTAATAATATTAAAAATTATCATCATCCCCTTATCCTCGTTCCCGAGAGCAGTGGCAGATGGTGAATCTTGGCTGTGCCTGTGGCTGCCCATAGATCTTAAAGGAAGCCAGTGTTCACAGAACAGCATCTCACAGGAGTCTCATGTGTTTTATGGTTGTTATTCTGAAGGTTCCTTTTGGCACAGGCTTCACTGGCAGACGAGCTTGTATCCTGCCTCAGAGGAATTCAGTTTTCAAACAACGACAATCCCAGCAAATCAGACAAACTCACAGGCCTGTCCTTGAATGCGGGAGGAGGAGCGCAGGGCGAGACTCCCTCTTGCTTTCACACCTTGCAAATGTGAGCTCCAATCCGAATGTCACGACTGTAACCTCAGCTGGAGAGGTCACTCGGTAGTTAAGAGCACTGGGGGCTGGCTCCTCCAGAGGCCCCGGGTTCAATTCCCAGTACCTACATGGCACTTACAGCCATCTGCAACTCCAGTTCCAGGGGATCCGACACCCTCTTCCGGCCTCTGCAGGTATTGTACATATTTGGTGCATAGACACATATGCAGACAAAATACCCATATACATAAAATAATAAACAAATATTTAATGAATTTTTAATTAAAATGCAACATTCCAAGCACAGTGATGTGTAGGCCGTTAAACAGCACAAACATTCTCTATAAATACACTTCTTTTTCTTCATCATTCACTTTGGCAGATGTTAAACATTTTACCTGCTCCCATAAACTTTATTTTCAACTTGCTAAAATTCAGTCACTAGCCAAGAGAGACACTACGTACAGATTTGAGATGGCAGCTTTGGCAACCCAACACGTGCCAAGGTTTGCATACAGTACCTGTGTTTTTCTTCTAGCTGTCTCTACAAAATATGTCTTCAGGGAGGGCTGTTGCCACTCACAGTAGAACCAAAGAAAACACTAACATTGGGTGGCAACCAGTCTGAAAAGCTTGCTCAGAAAAACAGACGATGATGATCAAACACATTCAGAATGGCAGGAAGCAAGGAGCAGTACTCACGGGCAGGCTACACTGAATGTCTGCTGTCACCTTTCCCACCCAAGTCCCAGGTTTCCAGTGTGGGCATGAAGGGATCGGGACAAACGTCCCTTTAAAAGGGAGTACCTGCAGACAGTGGATCTGCTTTGCACGCTCAGTTCATCATCAAACCGGAAGTTCCAGGAGAGCTGACGCTAGACGCTGTGAGAACCGCGGTGGGTAGCGCTCCTGGTTCGGCTCAGTGGTTTCAAAACCGTCGCTTGATTCATTTCATGAAACCGCGTCTGAAGGAAAGGCGTGCCCTGGCATGTTGCAACGGCCAACATCCGTGTGGTGGGAACCACGTCTGACTGGGATTCCAGCGCAACCTCATCAACTAACCAGCTGGAAATCTTGCGCTCTGGAGCAAGTGGGCTGCTCTCCCTGTACGGCAGCTCGTGCCCGTGTGAAAATAGAGCATGAACAATACATGCAAGTCTGGACTGCAGCTGAGACAGAGGGGGAAAGAGCATGGGGGACCTTTCATGCCCTCGTCACACGATCTGGGCACATTATTCTTATTATATGGATGGAGAGGCTGAGATTTTGTGAATTCCAGGTCACTCATAATAAATGCTTGCCCAGTGAGATGCGTTTTTTATAAGGTGTAATGGTTCCATGACTTATTTGAACCTAATTAAAAAAAAAAAGTACCTTTATGTTTTTCTCCATGGTTTCCACCATGCTGCCTCTTGCCTTTGCGATGGGCTAGGATAGTCCTTGCCTTTGAATGTCCCTTGCATAATGATTCGCACACTGGTTGGAAAATAGGTAGCAGAGAATAAAACCCTCCAACCAGAGAAACAAGAAACAGAAAACAGCCGGGCGGCGGCGGCGGTGGTGGCGCACGCCTTTAATCCCAGCACTCGGGAGGCAGAGGCAGGTGGATCTCTGTGAGTTCGAGGCCAGCCTGGTCTACAGAGTGAGTTCCA